GTTTGGGTTGTGTTTTTCTATAAAAACTAATTCTAAATGCTTTTTATATAAATATTATTGTCCATCTCTCAGTCTATGAACACTAGCTGATGATTGGCATTATCTTGGATTTTTAATTTATCAAATAGCTAAGCAAATACATTTTTATTATAAAGCGATAATATCTAGCACTATCTGAGCTGTGTACTCTGTATTTTGAGAGTTTAATTTTTATTAACTTTTATCAGTGTGAATTAAAATTGCCCCAGGAAAAATGAGCCCAGTGACTGTGACTGTACAAGGAAATGGTTTTATTAGTTAAATATTTGTGAAGAACAGAGTTGAATGGTTGGGATTTGAATTGGTAAATTAGAAAGAGATTATGGAGGACTTTAATAAAAAGTTAATGATTTTCAGTTTAATCTAATAGGAGTTACACACAAACACATAAATAAAATTGCAAGTCCTTATTTAGGAAAAAATAAGGACTTGTGGATCTCTGTTTTGGCAATAATGATGTTTAAATACTCTTACTATTTACTGAGTACTTTTCCTTTTTAGAATGAGCAACAGAAAAGTAAAATAATTTCTTGAGGTATTTAAGAATAATAATAGCAACCAGGTCAGTGTGATACAATAAAGATCATGTACAAAATCTCTCCTATCTAGTACTTTACCAAAGGGAAAAATACTTAATAAAGCATGTAAAATGTTAACGGTAGCAAATCAAAGCCATCTAGCCAAACATTGGGCAGAATTTTTAAAAAAGTAACAATGAAGGAAGAAACTGAACATATTTTCAGGATCATGATGTCCCCTCAGCCCTGTGTGTGGACTCTTAAGTCTTTTTCAGGAAAGGAAAGGTGATTCATTAAGCGTAGATAAATTCTAAATTTTTAACATAACTCCAGGAGTGACTTGAAGACTCAGGGAGAAGTCAAAAACAACAATAACAACAACAACAGCAACAACACTCTCAAGAGTAGAAATGTTCCTTAATTTTTGTGGCATCTCTGCAGAGTCCAGGACTCTTTATCAATGTCCACTGTTTTCTAACTGTTCAACTCATAAAAAATTGCCAGGAAATTATATAATTTCTACTAGCAGTAATCATGGAACACACAGATCTAATGTGATAAATCTGGAGAAGCCCAGGACTCTTTTTGTGCTTGAAATATCACATCTATATATTCTGTAGAACTCAAAATCTGAATTCAAAGAAAAAAATACTAAACGCTAGATTGTAAGACATTAACAGTGATTGAATGAAGGAACAAAATTAAACTAGAAGAGCACCATTGTAGAATTAATTATCTATTAGAAACCCAGTATAGCAAAAAAATTCTGTTACTATTATGAAGACAAAATTTGAGATATCATAGTACATTCCAAGTAAAAGGTAGGTAAAATAGAATAGATGTGAATGATAAAATCATCTAATATAGGGATAATTTTTGTATATCAAGTAGAAAAACCAAAACATTCTTTAGGAAAATAGAAGAAAAATTCCTTGTTGTAACACACTAATGCTGTATGACTTGAAGGGCTTTATTTTCAGCAAAAAAATGAGTAATAATTGGTAATAAAACTTACTATCATTAAGGTTGTGACCTATATATAGAATTTTGGAGGAATATACCTAGGTAAAAAACCTAAGACTTCAAGAGTACAGACCTCTCAAATCCCCAGATTTCCCTCCAAATATAACGATGCCTTGCCAAAAATCTTCAAATGAAAACAGAATTCAGAAGTATTTCTGCTAGCCAAATTGTCTTTCAGCTATAAAGGAAAAAGGAAATAGAATTTCACATGTAACATCTGAAGATTTTTTTGGGAAAAACTGAAATATAGCCAATAAAATGAAGACCAGAGTGTGGATGAATCATGAGCAGTATGAGAAGTACCAGTTAAACACGCTGTTTCAGCAGCTTTTCGGCACTGTTAATTTCTTGCAATATGCTCTTCAGCATTTTTTATCTTGAATTCAGATTCTAAATTCTACAGAATAAGTGGGTGTGATACATGGGGGACCAAAAGAGTCTTAAGATTTTTTCTAGATTTATTTTATTAGATTTGTGCGTTCCAACGTTAGCTAGCAATCTCTGAGGAAAATGCAGTGTAAGCAAACTTTTGTAGATTAGCTGCATTTACAGTATGAAAGCAAGAGCTTGAGCAGCGAAAATATGGTTAAAACTTTGTGTAAAGAAGCAAAACCTAAATACCTATGAAAACTTGTAGAGAATATTGTTTACAAGTTAGTGTTCTTGAATTATGTGTCTAAAATATTTCTATTACAGTTATAATACAGAACACGAGTCTGATAAACCTTAAGAGGATAAAAATATGAGAACTAGGCTGCTGGTGAAAATTAAGATGTATTACTTCTTCTGTCTCGTATAAGTCAATACTGACATATAAATGAATTGGGGAACCACTGAAAATCTTTATCATACCTTTATTATGTGTCTGTTACCTCTTGTTAGCATTTAGAACTAGCTTCCTTGAATGTGGAGAATAACCTGAAGTGGTTAGCAGTGCTTCACTTTTCCTGTATTTGGTTTTCTTTCATTAAAATTAAGTAATTAAAAATGGCATGAGTAGTGCAATATCATTTTAATAAAATCCAGCATTTTGTCCTTCAGGTTAGTGCGTATGTTACTGCTTTTTTTTTTTTTTTTTTTTTTTTTTTTTGGTATTGGAGATCAAACTGATGCTCTCACAATTGCCAAGCAGACTCTTATGCCACTGAGCTAAATCCCTGGCCTCCCTTACTGCGTAAGTTATTGATAGAGAATTCTCAGAATGATACCAATCCAGCGTTCAAACTGACTTCCTTTGTATTAGTATTTTTTAGTGACTTGGTTTTTTACCTTTTAAATTTTTTTTCACATTGCTAATTTTAAGGACAAATCTAATGTTGTTTTGGACAAAGATCTTTTTCCTTTACAAAAAACTGTTACAAAATTTTGAACTATTTGTTAAGCATTTGATGGTTGTTAAAAACATGCACTGTTTCTGTCCTTAGTAATTCCGAGGTCTGTTTTAAGGGATTTTTACCCATTTTTTTGTTGTCTTGTTTGAAAAGCTGAATATGAATATGTGTCTCATTCTCCCCCTAGGCCTCATTTGTTTATATTCAAAAGGAATTTGTAGTGTAAGTTATTTTTCTAAGTGTAGGACTCACTTATGTATCTTCGTTGAAGCTAAGCTCTGATGATGTCTTGTTTTCTGTCTGTCACAGAGGCATGTCAGGATCTGAGTTATCCCTACTCACATACAAAGAAGTGAGTGTGACACAGGGCCCTAGATAATTGGCAGAATGCCTGGGACTCTAAAAAACAAAGCAGCACTGATTTTTTAAATTTCAGATCCCACAGAGAGATAGAGTTAGGATTTCATACTGTTAAAAAGAACCTTGATATTAGGAGGCTTGGCCTTATAACATGGGCTGCTGTCAAAAGAGCTCATCCTGTCCCGAGAGAGTCATATCTTTTTTACCCTGAAATCCTATGGAAATCTACTCCTAAGAGACTGGGGTCTCTTTGTTTTCTGGAAAATAAGTAAATCTGCCTTGAAAGAGATGTTTCTTGCAAGTCTACACACTATGTGTGCAAATGTTCTTGGAGACAGTCTGGAGCTAAGAAAGATCTAAAAGGCCTAAGAAAAAAGTGTCTCCTTGTAAAATCTGAAAGACTAGATGATGTGACTCCCTGATCAAAGTTAACACCTCACAGTGGAAGCTGATGTCTTTTACAGTGTCTTACCATATAACTGGTGGTATGGAAGGTTAATTTTTAAGTTTTCTTCTTGAACAGTGTATCCAATACAAATTTTGAGTTTAAATAAATCTCTTAGAATTTATAATCCAACTAATTTCTATAGCAAAGCTAAGAACTTTAAATCTTTCCTTTCTCAGTTCCAAATATTTTGTTGAAGTTATGTAAATTAAGCTGTTTAATGGGTAATGGTCTTACAGGTTCATTTTTATTTTTTAGTTGAATACAACATTGTATTTTGAAACTGTAAATTGTAAATTATTCTAAATGGAATGCCAGTATGAACCACTGAAATGTAAGTTCTATGAAATTATTGGAGCAAAGATACAGTTATAAAAGATCCTTTGTGTATTAATTTTTAAGTTTTCGTTCATACAGTTGTAATAGAAAGAACTTGAAGTAGAGTATTAAGTTATAAGAAATAAAAATCTTATTCAGAAAGGTGATATATACACCATTCCTTGTAAGTTTGAGACATCTCTGTTTACTTTGGCAGTCTGTTTTTTTATCAGTAATTATTGCCAAAATTCAAGTTTTTTTCCTCTCTTTGATGGACACTATCATGATTTATTTTTGCATTCCTTGTTTTGAGTCATTATAGGTTTAGTGATTTCTGCTATTTGCTGTTATAATATTTAACTTCCTTCCAGAATCTTCCAAACATCCTTGTCTAACCCACTTTTCTATTGTAGTTTTTCAGCATTCTTTGCAATAAATTTAATGTAAATTTAAATAAATAAATGTCAGTTAAACCAGAGTGAGGCTTGGTGGTCTCTGCCTGTAATCCCAGCACTCTGGGGGACTGAGGCAGGAGGGTCACAGCCTGGGAAATTTACCACTTTACCAAGATCCTGTTTCAGCAAAAGGGAAGGGTGGGGAATTTATCTTAGTGCAAAAACTTTGGATTCATTCCCATTCTGCAAAAATTAAATAAATGAATCATAAGAACTAAAACCAACTACTTGTCTGATTCTGAATATATCTTTGCTGCATTTTTCTTACCTGAAGCAGTTTGTTATATTCTTGTTTGTTAAGTGTTTACCAAGTATTAGTAAATGAATGTGTAGTCATGGCCTGGATGGTCTTTGCTTGATAACCTGATACAATTTACCCTGGATTTATTTTTGTGTATTTTACTAGGCTTTATGTACCTCTCCTATAAAAACTGTATGCAAAGTTGTTTTTGTGCATGTTTTTTATTTCTATCCAGTTTGTGAACTTTTTTCTGTACGCATTTTCTCCTAGCATGTAAAAGTCACATCTGGAGCTCCGTGTCCTTCCGGCAGCAGTGTTCAGCGCGTCATGTTAGAACAGTGCTACAGTTTTGTTTGTGTGAATGTAAGTAGTCAATACAAGTGATTGAAAGAGGCTGACGATCTAAACAAATACAGTATCAAAGAGAAATACTAACTTTTCTGGTTCTTTAAACATTTGAATGTGAAATGCTGATAGTTGAGTTGTCTTATATAATATGCATTTGGAAATTTTATTTTTTTTTTATTTAAAATAGGGAAATAACATTTCCTAATAAGCTGATGCCCATGATGGGTATTTCTTTAAATGTATTTTTAATTTTTTGCTTTGTACTTGGTATTGAGTAGATGATAAGATACAAATTTTTGAATTAATAACTCAAATTTAATACATATATATAACTTACAGGTATTCCATTAAATTGTTTGAAAAATACACTTGATAAATATTTTGAGTGTGGTGCCAGATCTCTCCATTTTCCCTTTAACTTTTAAGTCATGTGAAAGCTTCTTTTTACTTTCTTGGTCTTTCAGGTTATGACAACTGATTTTCAAAATACCCAGAAATTCCTGCGCATGCTTGAGGAAAGCAACCTTTCCATTTTATATCCTGTAGTAGTTGTTTCGGTAAGTGAACAGATGCAGACTTTTCTCATCAAACTCGTTCTTCCTGACCTTTAACTCAGAATTTTTACTAGCAGTGTTACACCCAACAGAGTACTGACCAAAACTCAGAGGAAGCAATTTTTCTTGTGGATTTGTGAAGTGATTTTTTACAGTGATTTCTTTGAACACTTGCCTTTATTATCATTTGTGTGGACAGACAGATTTGAAAACTATTTAATTCCATCTAACAGTCAATTTCATTGCTTTTTCTTCATTAAAGTCTCAAATTATATTGGTGGGTTCACTAAGTGTTTAAATAAAGTGAACGAGTTCTATTTAACAATTTACTATAATGCTACTAGATAAGATATTCAGAAGTTGAGAAAAAATAGAGAAAATTGAGAAAGAAATCTAAAGGAAGAAAATTTATTCTTGCATTCTCCTTCTTTGTTCCGTGGAAAGCATGAATAGGATGAGTAATATATTAAAGAGAATACCTAGGAGAATGGCTCATGAAAATCTTGGAAAATGTTTCTTGAAAAGAGTAAAAGAATATATTTAATGCAGAATATACACGAATGCCCTATTGAACTGTTTTCAAGGGGGATATCAGCATGCAAAGCTAGTCAGATAGAAGATTAGAAGCCAAATTAGCCAAACTGGCTAACGAGCAGGATCTGTAATATATAGTAGCTAGGTGTGGGAAGGGATTCCAGAGACGAAATTCTTAAAATTTCTTAGAAGTTGTGAGTATCAGAAAGCTCAGGCCCATCCCACAGCATGAGAACTTCATTGTCATTAGGTAAAATAATGAATACTGGATAAAGATAGTACTGGGTATTAAAAATAAATAACTCTAATATAAACAAAGCAAATAGAAACTAATTAGCAGCAGAAAAGATTCAGTCAATACCTTGGCATCTTGTGTTTGGTTCTGTACCATTAAGGGAGGCTCCAGGGAGGGCTGCTAATGGAACCCAAGTCTGCTTACAATTGATGTACACAAATATGGAGGCTGTCATTGAGCACTTTGGGAGGCATGGCAAGAACCCAGTGCTGGAGGACTCTAAGGCTCTGTAGGATAGAGGCAGGTTCTAAGTGCGGTGTTTACCTTTCAATTCTTATCCACATTTACTCTTAGAAATCTCATTCCTTTCATGTTCTTAATTATTATGTCTAAGAGGCCGTGCAATATATTTTGAGGGGTAAAAAGGTGGCTTTGAACTCAGAATACCTTAATTCTTTCCCCAAGCTACTTAAATTTTTCAAGGCTCCATTTTCACTCTGTACAAATGAGGCTAAGATCCCCATTTCTTAAGTACTAAGGACCAAAATGAATGAATACAAAACTTCATGCCGCATCCTTGGCAAGCAGATATTGTTAGCTTCAGGTCTAGATGAGAGTCTTTCTTTGACACTTCAGATAACTCAAAGTTCACTTCCATTGTTCTAATCTGACTTCTGAGCTCCCGAGATACTCTTTTGCATTTTTCTCTTAGTTACTTCACTTCTCAAGTTTATGTCAGATCAATCACAAAAGCACATTGCCCCCCAGTGAATGTCTCCTAATGGCGATGCAGTTGTGACAACACAGGGCTCCAAGTTGGAATCTGTCATCTTCAAGACTTTTTTCCTCCCTTTCTTTCTCTTGTTATCAAATACACACATACCCATACTGGCTTACCTTTTAAACAGTTGTTCATTATTTTCCACTACTGTATGTCAACCCTAAGCCCTTGTATTGCTTCTTTATATGAATTTAGTTTTATGGTGACTTTTCTTGAGTTGAATTTCATGGTTCCTAGAAAAATGCCAAAATTGTTTGGCTCCCTAGCATTCTATATCCAACTACAAAAAGATGGGAAAATTTCCAGTTATAAGTCAAATGTTTCTTAGAACTAGTTTAAGAAGTATTATAGGCCTATGTACTGCAAATACTCTAGTTGAAAAATTGTCACTCCCTAATTATAATACTCATTTTTCCATTGCATCAGACTTCTCAGGATGGTGGTATTGAAGTTATTATTAAACTTAGTAGGAAAATATGTTATTCAAATATATATGTAGCCTTAGGCTGAAGCATGTCACTAGAAATGGTGGAGTGAATTAAAAATACTATTTCATGAGGTGAGTAGTGAATACTCCTCTGGATGTTTGAATTGTTCTGTAAATGATTGTAACTATAGCTTACCAGCCTTCATCCTTTTCTTTTATAATGGCTGCACAATAAATTAAAAACATTTTAATCTAAGCCTGAGTATCTTGCTTGGTACCCTAGTAAGAATTAAAAATATATACAGTACATAAATACGGTGTTTGGATGTGTAACTGTGAATATCCATGCAAGAAAAATGTTCTGGTGTATGTGATTGAAAAGATGTATTATGTATTAGGCAACTCCGAGACTATACTGTCCATTGTGGTTCTATCTGAACTTTGTTAAAAAGTCAAACAAGGATAAAAGACTTCTTCATGGTTTTTATTGTTGGTTCTTTTTAAGTAAGTTTTTGCTAAACAATTCTAAATTCTGAGAATAGTTCAAAAGGAATCTGATTATTTGCTTCCTCAAACGGGTAGCCTTTGCCATCAGAAGCATATTAAAAATGCCATGAAAATTATAGATGTTGTTTATTTTTATATTGGAGTTGGGTAGTTCATAGATGTCGAATGAATGTATTTCATTTCATGTATTTCATGTGTTTAAAGGCCTATTTTATCTTAACTGAGTTGATCCTTTTTCCTATGCAAGGGTTTTTAACTTTTAATTCTATTCCCTCTAAAGAGAGGAAGATTTAGCAGGAATTAGCCAGATGCAATTATGTGGTTACTAGACATTTGTTAAGTTTTTCAAGATAGATAATGTCAATAAGGTTGTTATTTGAAATATCATTGTGTTTCATGTATAAGGACAAATACTTGCAAAAACAAGACTGACGGTTAGTTTAGCAAGGGCTGTTGGTACAAATAACGTGGTGTTATATTTAAAGTGCTAAGAATTGGTATTAAGCTACAGTACTGATAGGGCCCAAATCATCTGGTATTTTCAGGTAGGTATAGAAAAATATTTTAAAATTCCGTTGTATGTATCATTCAGTAGTCACTTAAAAGGGACACATAATTTAATCTCATCTAGAATGTGTAAGACTCTTAAGTACCAAAAGAAGCAAAATATTGATGGCTGTGCTTTTGGAATAGTGATATTTTCCATGGTTAGTTTTAGATTAGGTTCTACTGAGGTCTCATTTATATGGTCAGTTCTCCTGAAAAGTGAAATGGGTTAAAAAAATATTTAGGTTTGTGTTATCTAAGATAAACTAGCAGAGATAAGTGGCTATTACTTTAGGATTCTCTTAAAGAAAGGTATAAAATTTCAACCATGAAGAGTAGAAAAAGTAGAACTTTATCATGAAAAGAACTGGATACTAAGAACTAAGATACTTACCAAAACAAATTTAGTTTTGTTTAAAAAATTTCTTTAAAAAACATGTCACTATTTGTAAACCTAAGCTTTTGCATAATATTGTCAACATTATGTAATAGTATGTTGTGACTTTAAATGATTAGTGCTCAGAAATATTTTTGGTTACTTTTAGTTCTCTTAAAAATCCTTCATTGATCTTTAACATTCAAAATACTCTTGGAACATCTATTTGATCTTCATTCTTATTCTTTTTTTTGATCTGTTACTCATTTGACTTGATTGGTTTATAGTCTAATTTTGTCAACATTGAGACTTCATGTCAGTAGCATTTCATATGATGTATAAAATTAACCTTATTTGATTCAACCTAAAATCTTTATACTTTGGTAATCATAATGTAATATAATAGAATAATCAAGAGTTTACAAATTTCTACAACCAAAGACTGGTAGTATTAACTACTTGGTCTAAAATAGATGACTGATTCCACATGGAAAAGATTGTTAGGTGTGTCATTTTATAAATGTTCTGTTTCTTAATGAATTTGTATGTGTTTATGGTGACATTGGTTTTGTGCACCTTTTATCTGTGAGTTTTTGCAAATGCATACTAAGATAATGAGTACTCTGAACCTTGCAAGAATTCTCCCTATTTGAAAGAAAACTCTTTTTCACTAGAGATTAATAAGCACAATAGAATTCTGAAATTGTAGATTTCTTATGTTCATCAAGACAAATCTCATTAAGCACATGTTAAGCACCAGTGCTATGTAAAATAAGATCATCCCGTCCTTCCAACAGTCTAGTTTATCAGTAGTACCCTATACAATGTTTTTTCCCCTCATGATCCCATGGTGACTGTGAGCTGGAACTCACTGCTATCACCGGGCATCACTGGAGAACATCATAAGGATAGTCTAGGAAAACATCAAAACCCAGTCTCAAAGTAGGATTTCTATTGAATGCTTAGCTTATTGCTGTTACACCGCAATAGTCAAATCATTGTTAGCGGTCCTGTCTTTATTTGGGGCCTGTCTGCATTGCTGCCTGCCTTGTGAGACTGTGTCCCTCAAGAGGTTGATCTGAACATTGTTTTCAGACTGGTCTGACCCAAAAACTATGAATACAGATGTCACTAGTTCTCTGATTACTATTTGTATGTGTTTATGGTCACTATTTAAATAGCAATAACAAATACTTAGAAAAACAAAGTAATGCATGTCTTAAAATTCTAAAAGACATATTCATAAAAAGTTAATCGGAGAAAACATATACAGTTCACAAAAGCTAAGAGTATGAATTAGACTGAGTTCATTGCTTACAAATTAATGAAAAAGCTATTTTTCCTTTTGTATAACTATGAAAAGAGATTTCAGGAGGCAAAACTAGAAATAAAATGGACTAGAAATAAAATAAAATATACAAAATTAATTGTAAACCCCTTAAAAATGCCTTTCCATGTACAAAGAGTAAAATAGGAATTCTAATTTTTTTGTTTCTGGAAAAGGTTACACAAAACATCCTTTGATAATATCAGAGAAAATAGTAGGCAATACATTTATATTAACTTCACTTAAAAGGCACCAAATGAATGTTTAGTT